CTTGGAGTCAGTTATTCCGCGGTACCTCCTTTCTAGCTTCTTTGCGTAGAGTTTGCCTGGGAGGCTCAACAACGTAATGCCCCAATAATTGCAGCACTCCCTGTGGTCTTCCTTCATGAACAGAGGAACTACAACACCCGTTCTTCAATCCGCTTGTGTCTTCTCCGGAGTCGCTGTTGTTTGACAGACACGTGCTGACTACAATATACTGCTTGAAACTTTAGGACCTCAGGGTGGATTTCATGGATTCCAACAGCCTTGCCACTTTTCATGTTTACAACAGCTTCTGTGACTTGATCTCATGAAAAAATAATATTCACTTCCTGCTGATATTCGGGGGAGACTTCCTGCGGTTGTTCGGGGTTAATGAGTTCTTCAAGGTACTCTCTCCATCGCCAAAATATGCACTCATGTTTGATGAGAAAGCGCCCAGACTTTTGCTTCAAATTGCTTAGCAGCTTTTCTTTCAATTAAATAGCGGTGGAAGATTTGCCAAAACGCCTTGTTTACCGTCTGGAAATTCGATTTCAGCATTGACCAAATTTTTGCCAGCTTTTACTGCAGCAACTGCTTCACGCGTTACGCGCTTACAGACTTCCTTGTTCAGGTTGAAGGCACTTTGCTTTCAAGCTACTTCTTGAGTACAGTCTTCTCCGCACTGGCAGCCTCTGGTAAACCACTGATGTCTACAAGGAAGTATACTTCTCACTCCTAGACGACAAGCCAACCCTTATTAAAGCGTAGCGTTCGATAGTAAGCCAGAGGGAACAGCTTTGAAACAGCTTCCACTGGGTTCCCACGTAAGTTGTCATCACTGGTATCTGTTCAAAACGATGTTGTACACAAGTATTACCCTCATACCCTCAGAAGATAATGTTTCCCTTCGGATTGTCTAGTTGTTCCTTGCGTCAGCTTCACACGGTCTTTGCAGCGCAGGGTTTTGACAACAAGGATGTGATTGATTGATAGCTCTGTGCCTCTCTTAATATGTAAATTAACGTAGATAGCGACTGACGTTCGAGGTTAATCGTACAGCATCCACTCGAAGGAATCATGAACAGTAGCGCTGAAGTTTGGTTCTTTGAATGCCAAATGTTTTCAGTTGCTTGAAATAAATATTATTCATGATATTTAATTTTTGTAATGTAAAGATTTTATTCCTTTCTGAAGAATATTAATGTTTATAGCATACCTTCTCCTTTAGAACACCCTCCTACAATTTCATAATGACAAATGTTCTTTGCCTTTCCTTTGCTGTCAACAGATGTGTTCAACAGCAGGTGCCGTTATCAGAAGAGATGATCTTGATTATCTTTGATTGTGCCCCATTAGTCTTCTGCATATCATCTCCTTCTTCTTTGTCGTTCGCTTTCTTATTCTGCTCCATGGAAGATACATGTATACCATATTACTCTGCCTGTAGCATACGCATTTCAATTAGTTTACTTTTGCATTTCAAAAAGTTTACATTTTCACTTTTACATTTTAATAAGTTTACATTTTTTTCTCTCTACGGGGATTAAAAAATTTTTATTCTTTGCTGGCACTGCATGGGCGCATTTCATGTTCAATACAATTTTCTCTTAAGAAGTTGTCATTTTGCATGGAACAGAAGAGTCAAAAAAAATTATGAATGAGAAAGGCTGATCATTTTGCATTAAACTCTGTGTATTTAATACTGTATTGATTCACGCTTCTGTTCTAATTAGTCATGCCTAGCGAATGTGTCCGCCTTACTTTTAAACTGCGTTTGGTCAATTAAACATTAATAATCAACAGTAAGATTACTAGCACTCATTTGGTTACTCTAACCTTAAAAATTATTAATGTCAGCAGTCACGTCTATAGAATTGGTTTCTATGTTAAAAGTAGGAATTCATGGGATCGTCATGATTTTAGAATTCAGAAATCATCGATAACCAGGTATTTTGTGCCTGTTTTCTGTCAGCTAAATGGCAACAAATTGAAACAGTCGAGTGCATATAGCCGTCAAATAAAAGATTGATTCATGACTAATTTTCGTTAAGAGAAAATTTAATTTTAGTTTAAAAAATGGTGTCACGAGGAAGCGCACACTTTTGTTAAGTGAACGGTAAAAAAACATTGCTACAGTAGAAAACCTAGCATTAAATGATGAGTACGATGGGCCTTTGTGACTAAGAGCACAGATAAATTTCATTTGACGGACCTGTGGCCACTACCCTGTCAATAATTGCCGCAGATCCAACAAAGGCAATAAATAAACAAATGGTAATGGACATAGAGATTCCTGGGAGACCGAAGCGATTGGCAAGCTCTGCAAAAAGGCCTTGATGACTACCCTACTGTAGACGGATGAACGTAGTCGCATCGATATGTGAACCGCGGACGACAGTCGGCGAAACCTTCGCTTTTATGGGGTAATAAACGAAGATGGCGGCCAGTAAAAAGGCTTTGCCACTTCGCGATCGATCGTCGTTACAGCCTTAAGCCAGATGGGATGGGAGTGGATTGGGTGGGCGAAAAAAGCGTTGGCAGGAAGCCGTCGAAAGCAAGTAACGGGTCGGTTCAAAGGAAGCACTTCAAAGGCGCCGACTTGTCGTCCGTTCATCAAACACCGGCCATCTCGGTCACCTGGGCTCCCTACGCAGCGAAGGCAGAATTGCTTCCATTGTATCGAACCGTGCAAGCCGGTCGAAGGTACAAAGGACCCAATTCGGCCCATCTCCAAAAAAACGCTCTGAAACACACCGGGATGTTTGTACAGCGAAAAAACAGGCAAATGTATTAACATTCGTTGTGAACTGTTAATTAGGCGGCAAAAAGTTTGACACATCACTCACCGGTCATTGTGTACGACCACTTCAAGGCAATCGTCACTGTGATCGTAATCGAAACGGACCAACCCGTCGAAGCTACTCAATAAAACCCTGAGCAAAAACAAACTGTTTTCATAAGAACTTGTGCACGACCAACTATCATTTGCAAAAATACATACAAATGCCATATGTCATCTGCCAAATGGGCCATTGCAACAGATGGACAAGTAAACCTAAGAATTTTTTGTGGCAGCTTCAGAAAAGACTTTTTTAATACCAAAATGTGTAGATTATGAAATAAGTATTCATCAGTTGGTAGACGGTTGACGCAGTCGAAACTTACACAGAATGTCTCGAATGCTTCTTCTTCTAAACAATGGGTCAAAGTTGTAGAAATGCCTAGTTTGAGGAAGAAGGGCAATTGATTTAAACATTAGCTCACCTTCGTTTCACCAATTTTTAATATCATCATCAACCATTTTTCGTCTTCCTGTCAAATGCTTTATGATCCAAAAGAAATGCTCCAAAAATTTTTAATTTATGAATACCACTCCAATGGTTGCCCAGCGTGAAGGTGGATCTAAAGTTTAGAAGGGCTACTTTAGTACCACTAAAAAGTAATATTGAAACTTTTAAGCTTGTGAGATAAATTTTTTCATATGCTTGAAATATTTCGAGAAAGAAAATGTAATCACAAATAGCAAGTGCTGAAAAATGTGATATGAAGAATTACCATCAGAAAAGAGTCAAAGTTTTTACCTCCTCCCTATTCCATTTAGTTTCAAACTTTAAATTACGCGACGCAACAAGGAAAGGTATATGCTTGGAATACAAAAAAACATAGGAAGAGGAACGAATGAGGGAGAATCGAGTCAGGAGTCTACGATGTAATTGCACAAGTGAAGAAGTTGAGGTGGCAATAGGCTGGACTCGCTTCAAGAACCATCGGCCAGAAAGATATTTGACAGGTTTTCAAAAGAGGGTAAACAGCCTGTAGGAAAACCTCCAAATCGATGGCTAGATGAGTTGAAGAAGTTTGCTGGATCAAGGTAGATGAAAATCACAGAAAACAAGTTTATGGCAAAGTCTTTGAGAGACTTTCGTCTAGGAATGAACTAAAGAAGGCTGAGCAATAATGATGATTCCAGCTATAAAGGAAGAATTAATTTTTACCCAAATAGAAGCTGCATTCAAGAAGGATAATAATGTTACGTTGCAGAACTGCTTTCGTGCTGGTTGCGAGTAACAAGATTGAAACAGAGCGCTTTAAAATGGAAAGAAACGCCACACAAGTAATGGAGAGCTACTACTATGTGAAACACAACGTTCGAGCTTAATCTCGAACATCTTCGTAACAAACCTTGAGAGGTGTTCTTCAAACACGACAGTTGTATCCTGTTCAAACTGGGGCTGCGCTATTCACTCATCAACCTATCCACACATTCATCCATTCATCCACCTTTCTGTTCTTCTATTCATCTATTGGTAAATTTTCAGAGTCGCATCTTATTTGAGATACCTAGAAAGGCAATTTCTAGAGTTACCCAGTGATTTTGAACTGCTCAATCATAACCGATGGATTCTATACAGTAATAATGCTGCATATACTCCGTACTCGATACATTTAACCAGTGCCCTGTACCTGGGTAGTCTTCCATGTTGCTTTTTGAAGAGAGTCTATCCAACGAATCTCCTTTCTAACAATTTGATCTCATGTCCAAATAGTAGCATATTTGATCTCCCATAACGGAGAGGAAACGGTTTGCATGCGAGAGTGCTTCGAACTGCCTCGTTCAAACGTTCGTCCATGAAATTCACTTGATTGACTATCTGATGATTAGGTGATCAATTATTGACTAGATACTAAAACCCTAGATATAACAATGAACAAATGTTAAATGACAAAACCAGCGGGGAAAGTAGATCCATATTGGGCTGATCAAACTCAGGTCGAAAATGACGGTTCTTGATTGGACATAGTGCAGCAAACTGAACGACTGACTATCGGTTAGCTTCAATCCTTCAGCTGCAATAACGTACACGCACCTTATGCTTGACCGCTTCATAAACCATTGTTGTGACCTCTGATAGAGGGGAAATATAGTGTAGTAAAATCGGTTAGAATAAAAGTGCCCAAGTCTTTATCGAGAATGTGTTTAGCACCCGTTAAAACTCGTCAGTGCCTCAGTTACATAGTCGGCTAATAATTTTCATAAGGTACTGTATCCAAGCAAATTGTTTTCCTCAAAGACTACAGAAACAGACTGAAGCAGGAGGCAAAGTGGCAAATGCCAAAATTAATGAAGCACTTCTGAACCAACGCACAACCTCATTAACCTGCTTAGTAGCGAAACAAATTGCCGCACCTGACCAATCACTGAATTCGTCTTTTTGTTTCAGCCACGTCTCTCATCCACGTCAAGCCCAGATATTTTACCGCATAATCTTCTTCAAACACGTTGTTGCAGAATTGCACAGTTTAAAAGGCAAGTCCCATGAGGCTCTTCTTACAGGCTTTTTACATGGAAACTGCAGTCCACAGATTTCTTCCGACTAAATGTTAAGCCACCATCACTCACTCATTCGG